CCTCTGTAATTTCCTGAATCGTGGGCTATCTCGGCACAGCCTGACTTCTGGAACCTCTTTGCTCCTATCACCTGGGGGGGGAAATGTGCTAGGCTGGGCTATCTCAGCATAGCAAAGAGAGTACTTTGAAAATTCTCCGCTGCCAAGATCCCAAGAGTCTAGAATGGGCAATCTCCAAGAAGTCTGTAATCTACTCGATAATCTCCTCATTCCTTTCACAGTTATGGGGCTGGAATGGGCTACCTCAGCACAAGAGTCTGTGTTCTGTGGGGTGCCTGGGTGGCTCAGTCGGTTAAGCATCTGACTCTTGATCTTGGCTCAGGTCATGATCTCAGGGTCCTGAGATGGAGTCCTGCGTCAGTCTCCACGCTCAGCGGGGAGTCTGCTTGAGATTCTCTCTCTCCCTCTCTCTTAAAAAAAAAAAAAAAAAAGTCTGTGTTCTGTTGCTAACTTATTCCTGGGACTCAACTTGACAAGACTACTTGGGATGGCATAAGGAAGATCTGTGCTCTGTAATTAAAGTCTGAGGCTGCAAAAGCTCTGAGCTTTATAAATTCTTTTTTCCCCAAACCTTAAGAATAGAATACAGAATACTGGGCCATCTCAGCACAGATGATCCGTGCTTGGTGACCTTGTTCCCAAGACTCTGGCTGGGTCTATGCTGAGCTATCTCAGCAGAGGGAAGAGTTTACCCTGTAGCATTCTCATGCCTGGGTTATGTCAGCAAAGAAATCTGAAACTGCAAATTCTTAATTCCCCCAACCTCAAGGGCCCAAACTGGGCTATCTCAGCCTATGTTTATAACCCCCTTTTCTCTATGATAGCAGGATTGAGCTACCTCAGCACAGAGGGCAGGAGGTTTGTAACTTCCTTGTTTCTAGCATAAGGAATCTGTTTCTAGCAATTTCATCTGTTTGGGAGGCTGGACTGGGCACAGGGAGTCTGAGCTGCGTAATAACTACCTTTCTAAGAATCACTTTGGTTTCCCCTAAGCCTCCTGGGAAAGGCTCTTTCTGACAGGCCCCAGCAGGTCCTGCGAGAGAAATAGGGAAGATGAGGGATGGGTGCTGGGTGGCACTCTCCTTCCTGCCAGGATCTTCACTGCAGCCTTAGGCTCTCTCACACAGAACCGAGGGTTTGGGGAGGGATCTGGGAAGGAGGGAAAAACAAACCAGAAGGATGCTGGGGTTACCTGTCGAAGCAAATACTCTTCCTCTTCCTTGGAGATGAAGTCAGGGACATAGTAGATTATAGGTGGTGCCTAGGATAGAGAGCCCCCTGAACGTGCAGCCCTTAGACCTACACAGGAGCCCTAGTATCACTGAGCAGACTCTGAAAGAGGCTCCGGATGTTCCCAGACAGGCCAGGGCCTGACCTCAAAGGACTAATGTCCATTTTGGGGGTGGGAAGTGGGGATGAGGGTGGGGCTATATCCTGAGGGTAAGAAGGAATTTGGAGGGAGGGAGCAGTCCCAGCCCACAGACGCAGGAGTCATTATCCCCACTCTTATCTCCCACCCTCTAGTCCCCACCTTCACCCTCTGCACCCCCAGTCCTGACAACCTGCTCCACCCTGAATGGTTCCAGGGCTGGAACCCTGGCGTCCTGATCCTCCATCGACACCAACTCCATGCACCCAGTCCTGTGGGAGAGGGGAGGACACTCTGAAGTCACCAAGCCTCCCACCCTCAGGCTATGATCCTATTTTCTGCTTTATCAAGGGCCAGGGCCTCACCTCAGCCCTACAGGGAAACTTACTTGGTTTCTAAAACCCGAGTCCTCAGCATCTCAAAAGCCAACCGGCACAGTGCACCCAGAACGCTGCCCCACTGCCCCAAACTCCATCCACAACGGCCCATCAAACTACACACATTTTTGCCCTCTTAAACTTCTCACAGAGAACATCCTCTGACCTCACTGGGAGCCATTCTCAAGAGCTTCACGCATAGCTTCCATGGCTGCACCCAAAGCCCCTTCAAACAGTTTGAGATCCCATCCTAACAACATCAGGTTACCAAGCAACCATGAGTCTGGCTGTCTAACAATATTCAAAGTCACCACGCACCCTCTTCCCGCCTCAAACCCTTTCAGATGCCCCATTCTCAACACCCATGTGCCCCCAATCTGAGTCTCCTCAGATCTCCCCATTCCGGCCCCTTTCACACTTCTCCTCCCGAGAGCCCCTTCCCCGCAGCAACCTTGGGCCTTCAGTCCGGAGCCTGACTCCTCTCCAACCTTCTTCCCTACCTGAACCCCTTAGACTCCCAACCCCGAGTCTCCTAGAATTCCACACTGAGCTTCCCTGGACTCCCATCTGAGCTTCCTCAGGTCCCCATTCTCAGCCCTCTCGGACCCCCATCTCCATCCCCAGCCACCCCCAAAACTGACCGTCCACCAGTGTCCCCTCCAGCACCCGAGTTAAACACCCCCATTCCCATCCCAGCCACTTCCGCCCCACGTTCCCGACGCAGGTTTCCTCAGACCAACGGGAACTCTCAAAGGTTCTAAGCGTCCGCCTTCCACCCAATCGGTGCTCTCACCCAATATTGCCCCGCCCCTTCGCCCTCTTTCAGTGATAGGCTGCACCTCCTGGCCCCTGAGCCACTGGGGATCCTTCGGAGACGGGTCTTCATCAGGCCCCGACCAATCAGGCTCCAGGACCCTGCCAGTTCTCACTGCGGAATGGGCCCCAGATGGGAGGGGTAGCCTTAGAGGCCAGATGGGAAGGGAGGCCGCCGGAAGGAGACAAGACTGTTAGAACGACTTCCCGCAGGCTAAATCATTCCGTGCCCATTCCACAGGGAAGCTAGACTGAAGGAAGGACTTCCTCTCTCGTCCTCCCCCGGCAAGGGTCCAGAGGCAAGCCCACAACTCCCCAAACACTGACCTGACGCAGACAAGCCATAGAAACGTCTTTATTGAAGGGGATAGGGGTCATGCTGAGTTTGGGGACATGCAGTGAAGGGGCAGTCGTGAGCTGTCCTTGCTGGTCAGGGCCCCAGGTCCACCCTAGACCCCCTGGGCCTTTAGGTTCTCCCTCAGGCTGTTGGTCTGGCCCGGGTGCTGTGAGGTCCTTTGGGGCCAGTGACTCATTTGGTGTTTTGGACCTGTGACCAGAACGTAGATTGAAATAGGGGGTCCAGGATTTGGGATCCCCTCAAGGCCTTGGGGCCCTTCATGTATTAGAGATGGAGGCTTTAGGATTTGGGGTTCCCTGGGGGCTGGGACTCTTTGCATTTGGGTATCTTGAGATCCATCGACTCACGGCATTGAAGTGCTCTGGTTTCCAGGGATGAGAATTCCTGTTTGGGGTCTCCTGGTGCCTATGAATAGGGCTTGAGGTGCCCTGGGAGCCCGGGATGCATATCCTGACTGCAGTCTCCTCCATCCCAGGCACAAGGACCTCCATGATTGGGGTTTCCTGGGGGCTTGGGATTGAATTTTTAAATTTGGGATTCCCTGGGGATTTGGGGATTCCATGATTTGAGGATCCTGGGAGTTAGGGCCTTAGGGTCCTCTAGGGGCTGTAGGACTTGGGGGCACAGGGGAATTTGGGATATGTACTCTGGGGTTTGGGATCCCCAGAGTCCCAGAATGGGGCCTCCAAATTTTGGGGTCCCCCAAAGGGGGAAGTCATTACTTAAAAAATAGAGAATTTTCTGGGAGCCTGGCCAGCACAGGGGCTGTGGGCCGTGTGGGGTGGGCTTCATACAAGGCACTGGGGGTTTCTTGAGGGCGCAGAGGGTAGGAAGACTTAGGGGTCCTGTAATTAGCACTTCCAGGACTGTTTTGGTGTCTGTAAATTGGGGGTGAGAGTGGGCTAGTTAATGTGGGTCTCTTCTTGAGGGGTAAGAGCAGGGATTTGTTAATGTAGGGTGTCTTTGATTGCAGTGTAAGCTTTTGGGGTGACCATGGGGGTCACAACATCTTGAGGGAACTGATGTTAAATGTAGTTGTTACTCTGTTGCTCTGGAGGTACGACCTGTGTTTTTATTTCAAAGGGATTTGATGGGGGGGGGGTGTCTTTGTTATGGGGGAGGGTTCTGATCCAGTGATGAATGACTCAGGAATGTTCTGCTCTGGAGCATGATGTAGAGGTCACCATCATTTGAGGTGATGTGGAAATACGTTACTGGGGGGTCTGCTCTGGGGGTTGGGGACAGGGACTAGCCTGAAGGTGCTACACTCAGGGAATCTCTTTCTGGGTACCATGGGGTCTGTATTTGGGGGTTATCATGAGGGACTCTGTTAATGGGGCCTCAGTGATCGAGGGCTGGCTAATGGGGGTCTCTATTCTGGATGTGTTACTGGGAATCTCTATCTCAGGGTGACTCGGGGGCTCCTTGTGTCAGGAGATGCTAGAGGGGACTCTTTGATGCTCTATCAGGTAGCCAGGCCTCTAAGACTGCATCTCCGCCCTCAGCATCCAGGGAAACCAGCAGCAGAAGAGCAACCTGGAAAGGAGAATCACGTCTGTCACACTTTGATGCAGGATACGGGAACATCTGGATTAATCACCCCACCCCACCCCCACCCCTGCTCTTCCCCAAGTGTCTGGGATTCGGCCTTTCTGGATTCTGTCTCTACCTGCCTGGCCTATGCCTTCTCAGGCTCCTGTGAAGTGGAAAGTGTTCTGCCTCCTCTACCTGCCCCGTAAGAGTGGAAGACACCAGAATTCAGTGTGGGACCTCACTCCCTAAAAACCATTTCTGGGTAAGCTGACTAGTCACAAGTTTTCCTAACCTCTATTTCCAGCCCCAACCAGAAGTCCAGATCCCTATGTCCAATGGCCTTGTGCAACCTCTCCCTGAACATCCCACAGGAGGTGGGCCAAGGGTTGGCTACCCACCTGGAGATGGAGTTCTCTGATGCGATGTCCTTTGGGGTCCGGACTGTCGTGAAAGTGCGTTTGGGTTGTGTCACTGAAGGGGGCGCAAGGTTTGGGTGAGGGGATGACAGACCCTCAATACCCAACCAGACTCCTTGTCATTGATACTTATCCATGTCCCCAATACCCACCTGGACCCCACATTTCAATACCCATCTGGATTTCATGTCAGTAATATTCCCTGTATCCCCCCATACCTACGTATGTCCCCAGTGCCTGCCCAGAGCCTTGTCGTTAACATCCCCATACCCTACCCCCCATAGCACTTATCCTCTTTGGGATCCTGTCTCATCATTTTCCTGGACCCTGTGTCTCCTGTTAAGTACTGGAGATTCTGTCACCAGCATATACCTGAGAACCCATGACCCTTCCTCCTATCCCCAAACCCTCACCCCTCCTCTACCTCCTACACCCCAGCCCCAGCTCACTTGTCACTTGATGCACTTTTTTGGCTCCGACATTGTCCCCAGGGGGGTCAGTGGATCCACCAATCCTGGGGAGACATGAGAAGAGTGGAGGGGTCAGAGTCATGAGAGGCCAGGAGAGCTGAACCCACAGGACCTACACAGAAAGAGCTAGAGTGTGGAGGTGGGTAGCCACACTGTCCTGCTGGTCCAAGAGGAAGAGACACCTGAGAGGGGTGGGCAGTCAGGGTTCTGGGAGGTGCCCTGGGTTGGGGTTGGTGTTTGGGCTCACCTCTGAATTCGGGATGCTGGTGCAAAGACTCCATGCCGTGGGGGGCAGGTGAAGTACCGGACACCGAAGACAGAGCCATCATGCTTGCCAGTGGGCTGGTCTAGCTCAATGCCATACCAGTAACCTGCAGCAGCGGGGTGTCAGGCTGTCTCAAGGTCTTTCCTGCGCGCCCCCCCCCCCCGCCAGATCACTGTCCTCACCGGGGGCAAAGTCTGTCTTCCCATAGAAGCGCACAATCCCTTGCTTCTGGCCCGCGACAAGGACTTGGTCTCCAACCTCAGCCTTGGCTCCCTCCCGCTGTTGCAGGCTGCCCAGAGATGGGGATGACGGGGGCTTCTTTTTGCCTGGAGTAAAGGGTACAGGAGAAGGGAGTGGGGTCCCCAGATGCCAGCCCTGGGGACCCCATGCCACCCAGAAAGACCCAAGATAGAAATTCTGTCCTAACTCCAATCAGGAACTCTAGAGCCTTCCCCAGAACCAAGAGGGCTTTGGGCTTGAAACAATCTCAACTGCCAGAAAACTGGGGGGGGGGGTGTTAGGCCTGAGGGGAAACTGAGTCAAGAACCTGGAGAACCCCAAAATCCTTTCTCAAAGCTGAGGTTATTTGGGCCAAAGGAAAAACTGAGTCACAGAAGTCAGAAGCCCAGAAATTATCCTTTTAAAACGAAGGAAGGAGTTGGGTGTGAAGGTAAATCAAGTCACTAAAGCCAGGAACCCCACAGATGCTTCCCTAAAACTGGGGGAAAACCTTTGACCTGAGGGGAGACTAAGTCATAGAAGGCAGAGAACCTACAGATCCTTTGAAGAACTGGGTGGGGGGCCAGTACTAAGTCAAAGGAGAAACGGAGTCATAGAAGTGAAGAACTCAGAGATTGTCCTCTGACACAGGAGTTTGGGCCTGAGGAGAAACTGAGTCACCGAAGCTGGGTTACCCACTGAATATCTCAAATTGGCTTGCCTCACCTTCCTCACCCAGAAGGCTCCCCCTCTGACCTTTGTGTTCCCTGCGGCCTTTGCCAGTGACACGGGAAAAGTCCATCCGAGGAGTCCGAGGTGTGGAGGTGACGGATGAGGGGGGTGCATCCACTACCTTGGAGATCTTGGACACAGAGGCAAAGAGACCTGGGGGGACAGAGCCTGCTCTGGGAGTGGTCCAAGCCTCTGCCCTCTGCCCACCCCCATCGCCAGGATCAGAACTACTGAGGGGACCCCACCACCACCCCTTTTGAGCCCCAGGTGGGACTGACCCTGCTTGGGGGGGCAGATGAAATACCGGACACCCCCAACACTGCCATCATTCTTGCCCTCGGGTTCATCCAGCTCCACGCCCACCCACTGGCCACTGGCGAACTCCGTGGTCCCGCAGAACCGAAGTGTGCCCGTCTGAGGAAACAAGGGAGGATATGGTTTG